ATATCTGTATAAATCATTAGGATTAATATCTTTGTCATGAAATATTTAAATATCACTCACAAAGCAATATATTTCACTTACCCCGATTCTAACCCACTATTCCATAAATAATCAAAAATTGCAGCTTCGATGTCATCAATTTCGCTTGGAATATCCTCTTTTTCAACCTACAATTTTGCATACAAATTTATGTCACAACAACATGATAAAGATCAAATTAAGTTTTATTTTATTCAAGTTACCTTTTGCTTATTCTTCTGGGGTGCAGGACATTTCGAATCCAAATCTGCATCTATAACACTCTTCGGTGTATAGATCACATCGACATCCTTCCTCCTTATTTCCTCCATGTTTTCTTCTTCCTCCATCTTTTATTCTTCCTCCATCTTTTCTTCTTCATATTTTTTTAGTTCATCATATTTTTGCTCTACATAGCTCTTTATCTCTTTTATTTCACCCTTAAAATTTTCCCCTTCATCCAAGTATTCATCAACCACCTCCTTTACCCCCGTAAGTTCACTACTTAATTCCACAACCTCCTTCACCACTCCATCAATTTTTTCACCCGTCATCATCTTAAGTTCACACCTCAACACCTCAACTTCTTTCACCACTTCACCCCTCAACACCTCAACTTCTTTCACCAATTCACCCCTCAACACCTCAACTTCTTTCACCACTCCATCTATTTTTCCTTTCACTTCCCCTTTATGCCTCTCAAGTGTCTCTTCGACTCTCTCAAGTCTCTCTTCGACTCTTGATTGTCTTTGCATGATATCAAATTGGATTTTTTTGATATCAGCCAATTCATACATCAAAATGTTGAATTTACTTTGTTTTCCCTCACCGTCATCCCCCAATACATCCATCTCTTCTTCCTTCTCCTCTGCCTCATTGCCAATAACCTTCAAAATTAAATTACAATATTAAGACATTGATTATATTCTTAATATTATTTAATTGCATTTATTACCCTTTCTTCCTTCCTCGGTCTATCCAACTTCAACTTCGCCATCACTCTAACCACCTCTTCCTTCCCTCATGCACGGATGCGTGCCACTTCGTTCTTTCATAAGTCGGCACTGCCTCAAAGCCCGACCAAAAATCGAACAGTGCAACCTGTATTTATAATAAAATTTATAATTTTTTATAATAACTATACTATCATTTTATATAAAAAAACAAAAACGTTCTTCAACTCATTTACCTCTAAGATTACTATGCACCCTTTTAGGTATCTCTGGCTGCCCTTTTTAAAGGTGATTATTGATTCAATCAATCTCGAATGGACATATTCAGCCCAATTGATTTCACCCTTCAAGCCTTCATCGCAAATGAGCTTCATATAGTCCTTGTTCGTTGACGTATCACCCGTTGGACAAAGAAAGATCCCGATAAGGTACAATAGAACTCGGGCCTTCAGCTCATCCCCCCTGTAAGATCCACTTTTGTTTTCCTCTTTAAGTTCAGCATATGTCACCTTCTGCTTCAGACCATATTTGGAAGCAAGTGCTTTCCAGTTCTTACTCTTAGAGACTTCTACAACACTTTTGCCTTCATTTCCTACCCCCAAGACAGCTGCAGCACATGTGATCCCCAGAGGATATGAAAAATCACCATATTTAGCAATACATTGTTCGACATCTATATTTTTTAACAATATATAATGTTATAGTTCTTATATATTTTGTATCAACGTATTTACAAGTTTAATTAATACCTTCTTTTCATGTGCTTTCCTTTATTCTTTGTATTCTTCACTATCCATCTTTGATTATACGATGTAAGGTTCCTTATCAGCATCACTAATCGAATTCTTTCTCCAACATCAACATTTAAAATTTGTAATCATTTAAAGTTCTTAAATACTTTGATTCAATTACTATTTCAACAATAATAACAAAAGGACATTGATACTTACTAGAAGTACATATATCTACCCTTTGGTTGCTTTCGAGTCTCGGCCTCAATTTCAAAGTCATATGCGCCACCCACAATTTTTCCATCCATTGACTCCATTTTTCCTTCATATATCAGTTTACGCAAATCAAATACTTGTTACATACACTTTATTCAATATATAAATATAGATAACTACTATTGTGGTAAAGCGGTTTTCTTCAAAAGAATTTGAATGTCCATTAAAAAATGTGTCGGCACATTTATACAACCTAAAATATAATTTTCTACCTATACTATTATATACAGGTATTCATATTTATTTCTACCTATAATATAATCGGTCCAAATACTTCTTGGCTTCGATTTGAAATCCCCAAACCAAACCCAAAAACCCTAATCCCTATTTCCTTCAAACGAATGAGAACACTCAATACTCCAAGTATCGGCACATTTATACAATCTATAATATCATTTTCTACCTATAATATTTATTAAAGTATCGATATTTATATTTTACTTAGAATATCACTTTCTACCTGTAATCGATCTCAAATATTTCTTTACTCCAAAACCCCAAACAACACATAAAAATCCTATTTTCGATTACTGTAATAATAAAAAACTAGTGTTTCGACAGCGTACTTTTCGATTCGACTGCAACAACAAACAAACAAACTTTGCTTTATAAACGCCTTCTGAAATGCAACGACAATTACGCTTCAATTTCAAAAACTCGTCCGTTCTATCTATTTTCAGAGGATATTTAACCATGTCTTTTATATTTTCACCGTATATGTTATTTATATTTAATTGATACAACTACAAAAGTGTCGATATTTTTATATTAGGTGTCGAAACTTTCAATAGTATAATTACCTATTTCTTTGAAAGTATTGATAATTTATTACGCATACTTATTAAAGTATCGTCACTTTAAATATATCCGGTACCGCTTTACCGGTTTTGTCATTTCGAGACCGATTTTGTCATATTTTTACCTGTTATATCGTTGTGGACCGATACATTGTTATAAAGTATCGACATTTATAGGCGCTAAACTGCTTCTCTTTTAAATTCACAAGTGTAGATACTTATATTAAGTATCGACACTTTAATATATCCTGTCGCTCTATACCGGATTTGTCCTTTGAGACGTTTTATCATATTTTACCTGTTATATCGTTTTGGATCGATACATGTTATAAAGTATCGACACTTTATGAGCGCTAAAACTGCTTTTCTTTAAATTCACAAAGTCGATATTATTAAAGTCGACACTTTCAATATCTGATCGCTCTATACTGGTTTTGTCCTTTAGAGACCGATTTTTTCATATTTTACCTGTTATATCGTTGTGGATCGATACATTGTTATAAAGTATCGACACTTTATGGGCGCTAATTCTGCTTCTCTTTTAAATTCACAAAGTGTCGATACTTATATTAAAGTATCGACACTTTCAATATATCTGGTCGCTCTATACCGATTTTGTCATATTTTTACATGTTATATTGATGTGGATCGATACAGTTTTATAAAGTATCGACATAAACCGCCAAACTAAGTTTGTCGGTTGTCAAATTTTTTAATATTTCTTCATGATTTAGACCTACTACATTATTATTACTCCCGTCAAGGGAGTTGAGAGCCTCTGCAGAGCTTTCGGTGAAAAGGATATTTTGGGAAGAATCGGGGCCTGATTATGTATTTTTGTTAAAAAATTGGGAGCTTTAACGGGTAGAGCTGATGGTGCAAGGTCAAGAGAATAAGCATTTGATGGAGAAATGGCAATTGGTAGCCAACGGATGTAAGGCCGCATTTTAGAGCTGGGAATTGTTTGTATGTGCTAGGCAAGTATAAAGAAGCGAAAGAAGAGTTTCGGCTGGCTTTGGAATCAGCAGAGGAAGATGAATCGACGAGGAAGATGAAAAATATACAACGAATATTAAATATAAATATTAGTTTTGTTAAAAATATAACAAATTTTTAAGTTGATTTTGTGGTTGGGTGTTTAACATTTGTTTATGAAGAGCTTTGGTTCAAATCCATAGAAATCAATTTTTCATAAAAAAAAGACTTTAATAAGACATCGTTTTGAGTTTTTAAACATTAAACCAGTTACGCCAAAACGATATCGTTTTGGTGAGGGAGCCACATCATCACAGTCACGATGTAGGATTATCATGTCATCGTGCCATTAATGAATTAACAACGGAGTGGTATAATTCTATTTAAACATAAATGTCAGTGTTAAAATTGATAAAATTGAAACGTCAGTAACATAAACGAGCTTGAGTCTACAAGTGAGTGATAGTTGAAGTAATTAATCCTAAATTAAATATAGATATCATCACCAACCGGTGTTGGTTAAAGTGGTAAGTAGCTTGATTCAATTTAAGTAATGTCTTAGATTCGAGTCATTATGCATGTAAAAAATCTCTATTAAAAAAATCATCTATCAAAATCAAGTGTCAAAGTAAATTCTTAGAATCGGGATCAAAAAAATAAAAAATATAGATATCATCTTATATCCTGTCGTACTAATTACGTATGATAAATAAAATTTAGTTAAGATTTGCAAATACCATTTTGAAACGAACTCTTTACGCATCCCGGCTTCCGAAAAGCCCTCCCACCGGCCACCAGCGTCGTCGTCCTCTCCTCCTCCAGTCCTTGACCAAGCCTTCCCTTTCCTTCAAGTTTCTGAAAGACCAGGAAATCAAAATAAGGTAATTCTTGAAACCCTAAACTTAACTTGAAGACTTCCACTAGCCGTAAGTTAATTGCCATCTTAATCCCAACAAGTTAACATAAAGAGAAGCCACCGATGCTGAAGAAAAAAAAGTAGTAAAGAAGTTGTTTTCGCCACTTATGGTTATCCAAAAATCAATGCTGAACACGCATATGATTGAAGCACCTATTGGACCAAAAAGAAATAATGCTCCATCGACTTGGTAACCCCCAAAATGCAAAGCCCGATGCTACTCTGATCTTCTTCTCATCCTCTAAAACCCCAACTTTCACTTCATTTTCTCTCTTTATATTTTTGCAATTTGAAATGGATTAACAGGCAACTTAATGATCCGACACCCTATCCTTGTCTACTTATCTTGTATTTTTCTTCTTTGGGTATTTTGGAAATTGATCGAATCTTATCACTGATAAATAAAAGAGAAAATCGCCTCAGTGACCAAAAATGCCGTATAATATACGATTTTAACCAATTTTTTCCGGATTTGCCAAAATGACCAACAAAATCGCAATGCGATCGCTAATTCGCAACGCGATCTCCATTATCGCAAATTCGCGTTGCATTTCGCGTTGCGATGGTCTACAGTGTCGTTGCGATTTTCCCAATTCGCAATGCGAATAAGTAAATCGCAACGCGAATTGGGAAAATCGCAATGCGATACTGACTATCGCAATGCGATAATACAAAATCGCAACGAGATACTGACTTTCGCAACGCGATTCTGACTTTCGCAACGCGATAATACATAATCGCAATGCGATTTTCAAGCGCCATTAGTATCCTGGCCAAGTATTTTATTTTTAAATTCCAAACATATTAAATATGGAACACTGAACCGTCCACAGTATATCCCGTAATCGCAACTCATAACCTAAAACCTAAAATCACAACTCAGTCCCTCTCCTCTCTCACCCATCTCCGACGAAATCCTCCCCATCCGGTGAAATCCGTCTATCTCCATCTCTCAGAGCCACCCTCACAATCAGAAATGGAAAATCAACCAAATCACCAACGAGGTTAGTTTTTTTAATTATTTTCTTTTTGAAAATTTTGCATTATTATTAGGTTTTTCATATTGAAATTGATGATAAGTTTACTGGTAATTTCAAATAGATTAACCATTTCACTTAGATTGCTTATTAAATCAACCGAGAATCACAACGCGAAATGAAATCGCAATGCGATTTTAGTTTCGCGTTGCGATAGTCAAATTTGCGTTACGATAGTCATTTCGTGTTGCGATTTTCATTTTCTGAAGCTATTCTTCTTCTGCAAATTGAAACTTGAATGATTGCATTACTTCAACCAAAAAACAAAGACAAATACGAAATTCACAGTGTTGCAAATTTAAGTTTGAAGAATAAACTACTACTCTTTATGTTTATTATTATTTTGGTATATCTCACAGTGTAGTTTTTGGTATATCTAACTTAGTATGTTTATTGTTTTTGTAGAACTTTTATCGGCTCAATTGACCTTAAGAAATAAAGTCACCCTGGCCAAACATTGCGCGAAGCTTTCACCTGCACAAAGAAAAATGTTGAGATACATGCTTCGGGCCATGGCTGAAGTACAACATCCCGGTAGAGATGCGATGTTGACACACCTGTTTCTTCAACCATGACTAGCGATCTACCATATACAACGTCGTGATGAAGAGATATGGTTTGATTTTCCACCGGCGATACGTGTTTTGGGCGGGAGGAGTTTTGCTTAATCACCGGTCTACGCTTCGGACACGATGATGTAGGTCGGTACACTAGACACATTACCCGCCCATCATGGCTATCCCGGTTTTTCTTGAGCTGGAGAGGCCGAATCTACACGTAGAAGACCTGACAATTGTTGAATAAGAAAGATGGTTTTACTCGGATGGATGACGTCGACATTGTCCGAGTATGCCTTCTAATTCTTTGCATGCCGACCTTTTAGGCAGAGAGCCAGACAACCTATTCCAAATGATCTAATCAAATTGGTAGAAGACCTAAATGCGTGGACCTGTTTCCGTGGGGCTCGTATTATGGAAAGCTACATGGAATAAGTTATCGTCTTCCTTGGATGATCGAAAAAGTTTGCATGGCGATGGTTCCAAATACACTTTGACAGGCTTTATTTGGGTCTTTAGGTAAAATTTTTATATATGTTTCCAAAATTATAAGTAATTATTTAACAATTACTAATGTTTGTTATTATTGTTTGTAGATTTGGATATTTGAGGCCTTTCCCGCCATGAAGACATATGCATAAAAACTTCAATGATATTCCCAGGGCTATTTCCTGGAAGAGGAAACGGACCTTGCAATGGGAAGATTTACTACGGTATACGACAATAAAAATGTAAGTTAACATAAATACTACCATATGTTTATAAACAGTTATTACTAGTACACGTTTAACTTTGTTTGAGCTTTTATATTGTTAGGAGGCCAACACTCCTCTACAGAGGCTGACCCCATGGAAGCTGAGCTTGCCACTGATTGGTGCAAGCTAGTAAGGTTTTTTGATGGAACGTTGAGCAGCCTCCACTTCGGGAGCCATCACCTCGCCCAGAGCTATCACCTCACCCAGAGCCATCATCTGATCGACCCGACTATACCCTCCACACGACAGCCATCACCTATTCTGTCACATCATCGAGTCTCTTCTCCACCATCACCGCAAGATAGGCGACCGGCAAGATGCCACGACGTTTATCTCCCTGTTCTCCACCTCCACCTCAACGGGATGAGTTAGGGGAGTTACGTGATGAGGTCAATGCCTTACGTGAGGAGGTCGGTACTTTACGCAAAGACGATGGTGCATGGCGTGTTGAGGTGTCTACATTACGCGGTGAGGTAGCCGCTATACGTGAGATGGTAGCATCGTTGCAGAATGAGGTTCATACTCTACGCAACGAGGTAAGTTTAAGATTTTCATACTCGTAATTCATTCGGTTGCTGCCAACTGCTAAACTGTTTTTGTTAATATTTGTTTTTGGTTTTGTTTTGTCTTTTAGTTGAAGTCAATCCATTCAAGTTTCAATTGCAGAAGAAGAATAGTTTACTTTCGCAACACGAAAATGACTATCGCAACGCGGAAATGGCTATCGCAATGCGAAATGAAAATCGCAACGACAAAATCGCAATGCAAAATGAAATCGCAACGACAAAATCGCAACGCGAAATGAAAATCGCAATGCGATTTGTGTTTCGCGTTGCGATTTTGTCGTTGCGATTTCATTTCGCATTGCGATTTTGTCGTTGCGATTTTCATTTCACATTGCGATTTTGTCGTTGCGATTTTCATTTCGCATTGCGATAGCCATTTCCGCGTTGCGATAATCATTTTCGCGTTGCGATTTTAAGTTTCGTATTGCGAAAGTAACTATTCTTCTTCTGGAATGTTTATATGTTGTCCTTTTAAATGTTATATAAGTGCTTACTTCTGGAATGTTATCTGAGCATTTTGTGAACTATGATAGAATAATGACTTGGGTGAATACAATGCTAGTTTGAAACATATTTGTCTTTGTTTAATATCATGTCTGTTTATTTACTGATTTATGTATTAATTTTTTTTTAGCGGCCCGATAAGATGGATGCTTTACGTCGGGTTTTCCTTGCACGACGGAGTTCACGCATCAGACGGCGTGGACGTGCTATTACATCTCCGTTCACCCCAATGGTGCGAAGACTCCACAAGAAGAAGCCCGACTCACCTGTCATCCCTCAAGAGTCCCCTCCAATCGTTCAAGAGGCCCCTATCCTCCCTCAAGATCCCTCCCACCGTCAAGAGGCCACTGTCATCGTTGAAGAGGTCCCTCCCACCATTCCAGAGTCCGATTCACATGGGTAATATATCGAAGTATTGAGAAACCCCCACCGGTTCCGGACATGATGGATGAGAGTTGGCTCTCGTATGAGTTACCGGCTAGTACCCTTCCGGTATCTGAAGTGGAGAGGAGACAACTACCGGAAACAATTGTGGATAATACCCTTTGGGCTAAGACCGCAGTTGATTTTTATCTACATGAGCGGAGCCAAGGGTGTTACACTGACATAAGCAAACTCAACGATGAAATGTTTTTGTTGCTTGATCAGTCTTGGTGGGGTGTGCTTTTAGGGGTTAAAGACAGTGGCTATTTCGATGGGGAGGTAAGTCTTATATTTGTCTTATATGATTTTGATTAATTTTTTAAAAATTAATGTAATTCACTAATATATGTATTTTTTTGTAAAACAGCATATCGATGCGTGGGTGTCACGTCTACTAATAATAAGGAAGCTTAGGAAAAATAAAAAAAATTCGCGATATACAATAATGCCGGCGGCTTTTCACGCAGTTCACTTGAAGAATCAACGAGATGAATCATTTTCGTTGGGCAATGGACAAGCTAAACTTTATCCTGCATGGTGGGAAGTCGATAAGGTTAGTGTTTATTTTTTAAATTTTTTAAAGGTGTTCATAAATAAGTGCGCAAATAAATGAATTATTACTTATGATTGCAGGTGTTTATCCCTATTTTGGAACGTCGTCATTGGCTTCTAGTCCAACTTCAGCTCCCATCCCTGAAGATAATAGTGTATAGCATGATAATTACATATCACTGTCTGATTTGAGAGATATGATCAAGGGATGGAGCTCTCATTTGGCTAAATTCTTGGATGGGATTAATTATTGGACTCATTCTGGACACAAGAAGCCAAAGAAGTTCAATGTCACAGTTGTCAGAGACGAGACCGTGCCACAACAATCGCCGGGAGCCAGAGGGGATTGTGGTCCTCTCGTATGCTTGTGCTTGGCGCATTTGACGACGGGAAGCACAGAGTTTCTACCTCCCACCGATAGAGATAGAGCTATAGTAGGCTTGTGGTTTCGGCATTATATGGCTAGAGCAATATATTCGAGACGCTGCCTACCTGCATCCGCCTTATGAAAGTGTCCATTGTTAATTGGTAAGTCAAATGCAAGTTTTGTTAACTTATATACTCCTTTTGGTTTGAAAATGTTTGGTTAAGTACCTAGAATTCAATAATTTGCTGTTTGTAGGTTTTAGATGTGTAGGAAGTCTTGTTTGAGCAAATGTTTGGTTTCTGCAGGTTAATCCTTAAGTGAGCTCCGTGAAATGGATGTACGGGGTCACAAAGTTGTTGATTCATTGATTCAATTATTTATGAAGAAATAAGAATTATTATTATTTTTTGATTGTTTAATTGATTTGTAAAAGATGATTTGTAAATGTTGATTTGTTTAATTGATGTGTACATAATTCTTATTTGTGCTTGTTTAATTGATTGAAATGTAATAGTTGATTTGTTGATTTTCAATCTGCATTATGTTGAAGGCAAAACAGACTATCGCAACACGAAACTGACTATCGCAACGAGAAAATCGCAATGCGAAATGAAAATCGCAACGAGAAAATCGCAATGCG